ACTAGCCCAGAATCAGTCCTTTTTTATTGTTTTAAAACTTTGTGTGGGAAAGGTGCTGTTTTGCCAGCTCTCACAGTTCCTCAGAAACTGTCTTATGTTTGCTGAATATTGCAAGTCATCCAATGCCCCTAAAGTTCCTCAAAAGACGTAATCATCAAAAGAATCCTAAAGAATAGCCCAGAGTGAAATAAGCTTCTCAGGTTCTGTCTCTCTGCTTTTAGACTCTGATTTATACAAATCTACTTTAATAGCATGTTTTCATAAGCTCCAACACTACATATACACACAATTGCCAGTTTATTAGCTACACCTAACTACAACTAATGCAGTCTAATACAACAGCCATGCAGTAAATGTTACCTTCATGAAGGTTATAATCAGCTCTTTATTCAACTTAATGCTTATTTTGGAGGCTGCGGTTTGTGGTGCTGTTAAAATATGTAGATAGATGAGGATAGAGTAAACAATAGAAACAGTCAGTGTAACGTAATACAAATGATTTTAGTGTGTGTGGAATCTTCTCAAACCAAAAATAAACATTATAACCTTCATCAAGGTAGACAGTATTTCATGGCTGCTGTCTTAGACTGCATTAGTTATACCTAGCTGTGCCCAATAAACTGGCACCTGAGTGTATATATCGCCAAAGGAGTCACTAATCTTAAGGCCATTACGCAGGAACTTGATGTGCATCTCAAGGCCTCATGAAACATTCATTGTGAAATATTCAGTCGAAAATGTTCTGTTGTGGGTTTTTCTCTGAGTAAGCCCCGTCCCCGAACCTTTTTCCTGACACAGCTGCTTTGATGGTGAGTCAGGACAAAACGATTTGCAGAATCAGTTTGCCCTCAGATTAAAGGCCTGCTCACATTCTATTATCCAGTCCGTTTCTGTTTTAAATGGAGATTGAACAATTGCAAATACAAGACACAGATTACTAACTGTTAGGTACATTATGTTTTTAATGTTGACCTCTTGAAGCCCTCTAACTCTGTGTGCCTTGTTTCCTCTCAGATGTTTGAGTTTTATGAGCGGGTGTCTGGAGCCAGAATGCACGCCGCGTACGTCAGGCCTGGAGGTGTACACCAGGTGGGAGAGTTCAGTGAAAAATACTTTTCGTTTGTCTAGTGTCATTTTTATAACAACTTAAAGGTATCTCTTTGGGAAAATTGTGTTTTGCTACAAAGAGCAAGTACAAAGATATATCAAACATATGACATGCAAGTCCAGTCATGGTTGTGGAAGTGCTAATGGTCTTAAATGTGTTCCAGGATTTGCCAGTTGGCCTGATGGACGACATCTACGAGTGGTGCAAGAATTTTTCCATTAGAATCGATGAAGTAGAAGAGGTAAATGACTTTTAAATCTCCACAAGGGCTTAACATGACATGATAAGGATGTGGTGAAGTCAGACATGCTGTCCTCTGTGCAGATGCTGACCAACAATCGTATCTGGAAGAATCGTACTGTAGACATTGGGGTGGTGTCTGCTGAGGATGCCCTCAACTATGGCTTCAGGTAACAAACCAATGAAAGTAAAAAGACTGCTTTCTATCCCTACAATTTCCCCTTTATATGGGCAAATATTTTAGGGTTACCACATTCATAGACAGCCTTTAAGGATCCTTTGAGAGGACTTTGTTGGGTTGGAGTAACGTTAGGATATAAAGTCCCGCTCTGTACACAACAATCTCCTCTCTCTCGTTTCTACTGGCGTTTGCTGAAACAGCTCGACACTCTTTTGCCTCCTGGCAAAAAGAAGCACTTTTCGTGGAAGTAATTTTGACAGGCGCAATTGCCCCGAAGGAATATGTTGCAGCCACTGGGGCCAGTTTGCAGCTGCCAGCTGAAGCCACCCTTTCTACGTACTAGTCATTTTGACCCCAAAATATGTGAAAACAGGGCCCCGAAATTATCTTTCAAGTTTCATAACAATTTGAGTGTAATTTAGAAAGCTGCCCAGATGATAAGCAGAAATGTGTATAAACTGATTTTTATAACCTCTCCTGTCCACCAGTGGAGTGATGCTGCGAGGGTCCGGCATCAAGTGGGACCTGAGAAAGTCTCAGCCCTACGACAAGTATGACGAAGTGGAGTTTGACGTCCCTATTGGAAGCAAGGGAGACTGCTATGACAGGTAAAAGATTGGCAAATGGCTGTGGTTGTTATTTAACAGTGTCTTCATTTTCCTGTTCCCCTTTTCTATCTGAAGTCACGGGCCCCGTTTCTCCAAATTTGCAACATGCCAGCTGCAACTTGTAATATGAGCTCATTTCCCTCCTGCCTCCATTTTGACACATTTAATTCATAAAAAGAAACACCGTACTTGCAAACCCTCGCATCAGTGTGCAACAAGGCCGGAGACTGACACATTTATCTGCAATGTGTGAACAACAAATCATTTGTGAGACGGGACGCTGACTCAATTTGCAATCGGTGTGCAAGGAACTTCAGCAAATCGCTCTTGTGAAACGGGTCGCAGATTCTTAGTGCTAGTATGTATCACTTCACTTGAACACATCAGTGACAAGTTTTCATTGACTGGAAAAGATAAGCTGGAGAACGCCACATCATATAAACATTAAACATTCGATCCAGCACTGGGTCCATTAGAAAGGCGTTCATGGCATTGCCAGACAACAGTATGTGAATAAATCACAGTTTATATGCAGGCACAGCTGGTAGTGTGAGCTTAATGCTGCTGGTTACAGCATAGGCACTACCTTCTGTCCAGCACAGCTCCCCGGGGTAATCAGAGGCCGATGAATGAATCAAATTGAGCTTCCAGTGTTCTATTCAACACAGGAATGAAAAGTGCTCAGTTCAGAGAGAATAAAAAGAAAGGACAGACGCACAGGTTGGCCTCCTCTCCGTTTCTGTCCCCTCCACTCTTTATAGAATGTCTAAGAGCTGATTGTGATTTGATGCCGAGTTACTGACGTACAGTGTCAGTAGCGTCTGTAGCTCAGCTGTTTGCTGTGTGTGTGTGTGCGTGTGTGTGTGTGTGTGTGTGTGTGTGTGGGGTCCAGGTATCTGTGCAGAGTGGAGGAGATGAGGCAGTCCCTGAGGATCATGCACCAGGCGCTCAACAAGATGCCAGAAGGAGAGATTAAGGTGGATGACGCCAAGGTTGCCCCTCCCAAGAGGTCTGAGATGAAGGTGAGCTGAGCCAGAGCGCCTCCCACGTTTCCTTTCATTCTTACGAGGTGGTTCTCTAAACTCCTGCAGGCTGTTCAATCTTGAAAATGTTGCACATTTTTCCCTTTTCCTCTGCGCTTTATCACTTCTGTGTTTTAATCAAATTTCAGCGGTGTCACTAATTTGTTTTCACACTACCCTCTTAAAATAATTACCCCAGTTCTGCTCTAAAATGCACTTTTATTTGGCCGCCCTCAAGGCCTGAGATCACCTCTAGTTCACCTCAGTGTGAGAACTCTCAGTGCAGCAATTTTACGTATCAGTCAGCGTATGCAGATTCAACATCGTTATCCAAACAGCTGCTCATAACGTGTTTTTATGTGCTCCTCCTTGTCCTAGACATCCATGGAGTCTCTGATCCACCATTTTAAACTGTACACAGAGGGCTACCAGGTCCCCCCAGGGGCCACATATACAGCTGTGGAGGCACCCAAGGTGAGACCTCTATACAGTAGAAAAAATCTTCTGTATCAAGTTTACCATTTTAACCTAACAAACAAAAAATCCACCTTTTTAAGTATACAACTCTGATCCTTAGTATACATTAGGTTTTTAATCAACTGGGAAGCCTTTGTAGGCCTTCAGGGGTTTGTTTTGATGTCATGTTTACTAGAGTGTGTGTGTGTGTGTGTGTGTGTGTGTGTGTGTGTCCTTGTGTCACTTGCAGGGAGAGTTTGGTGTTTATCTGGTGTCAGACGGCTCCAGCAGACCCTATCGCTGCAAGATCAAAGCTCCTGGATTCGCTCACTTGGTGCGCACTTAAAACTTCACAAGACACTGTGAAATATTAAAAGCACCGGGCATCAATTATTCAGCACGTTTAACGGCTTGTCCTTAAGGCTGCTTTTAGTTCATTAAGTACATTTTATGAAGTACTACAGAGCCATCTTTAGAAGTGTACAGACCCCCCCCCCCCACCCCACCCCACCTTCTTCCTCCTTCCTGCTCATCGCTGTTTAACACAGTCATTTTCATTTTGGTCTTCAAGGCTAAAAATGTCTTTAAAGTTGCATAAACAAACTATTAGTAGAGTAGTTAGTGCATTACCTTCAGGCTATAATCTCATGAATTAGGAATATTTACTTTTATATGAGCTCATCTGCCCTGAATAGTTGGAGCTGGTCTTCAGTTATTCTGAATCTTAATCTTGTTTTCTTCCGTCTAGGCTGGTCTGGATAAAATGGCCAAAGGACACATGCTCGCTGATGTGGTGGCCATTATTGGTACGATAGCGATGACTCTTGAAGAATCCATCTCCTCTCTGAATGTTGTAAAAATGGAAAAATAAGATTGTTTTTTTTTTTTCATGAAGACTCACTCAGCCTTTGCTTCTTTTTTCTTCTTCTGACAGGCACACAGGACATAGTGTTCGGCGAGGTTGACCGTTAACATGTCGCTGCTCGTGTCTGTGTTCTCTGAAGAAGGGAACTCATCCTCTCCTTCACACATCTTAGTCAGGTTCTCTTCCTGTTCACTATTCGCTGTACTGAGGCTTTTGACAGATGACTCTGCTTATAATCATTAATGTACAATGTCTAAATAAACCTAATAAATATTTTATGACCTCACATCAAAGCAGCCAGTTGTATTTTCTGCCTCTCACATTGGAACAGGGTGATTTGGGAGGGATTCAACGCTGTTATTTTTTTCAGATGCTCTGTTTCTTTCACTTTAGCGAAAATCAAGTATTAAAAATGACGGCAGAGACCAAAGCCTCAGTTGTATGTCCTTCCTCTGGTTGGGTGTTAAAGTGGGAGTGGTCTGATGAGATGTGAGAGAAATGGACTTAGAGCTCAGACCACAACTTCCCCTCTTGTCTGTGAGGTATGCGACTGTAGCGTTCATCAGAACGCGGAGGGAAAAAAAACACCCACAAGTCTTCTTGTTTGCTGCTTGCTGGTCGCTCAAGGAGCCCTCTTCTCTGTGTTGAGCCTGTGTAGCCATGGCCGTGTGGGGCAGGAGCCCGTTACTGGTAGCGATTCCTCTGTGGATGAGTTTTGGGAGAGCTGGTGAGTTGCGACATCAACATGGGATGTAACTTAAAGTTTTTATATTGCTCCGGCTGTGATGGTGGTTGAATGTCTAAAGACAGTGATGATGTTTTAATGAGAAGAACAACCCAAACAGCAGAATTCAGACTTAAGAAAACCTCATGACATGACACACAATGACTGAAGAGAAGCTGTGCAGTTGGTCAAACAGGGTGAAGATGTGAATTTTTTTTTTTTTTTTGACATGATCACTTGTTTGCTCTGTAGAACAACCCAAAGTTAAAATGGTGTACTGCTACTTAATGTTGGCACACGGGTACGTGATTATTTGGAACAGTGAGGTTTTCTGCCTTTTGACCTACCAGTGTAGCAGCAACGATGTAGGCGCCACATCAAAGTTCCTGTTAAAAGAGAAGCTGACTCTGTTAGTTCTTGTTGACACTTTTTAAAAATACTGTGCTTTTCAAGCGCACCCTGCTTGGACAAATACATTCAGTCACAAGATTAGTGTCAGGCTCCTCATCATTTCTACACCCTCTAAAGTTAGATTACACTGGATTTATTAGTATATGTTGTGCACCATATAGCCGGTATGTCATGTATACAATTAATATTGTAATATTGCTTTAGCAGCTATCAGTTTAATCGTGAATCTGCCTATAATGTTTGGAAAAATAAGTAACAAGAAAACATTTTACAACTTTCAATGCATTTCTATGAACAAGTATAAACAAACGGATTAAGTCTTCAGGGTCAGTTAATATTGGGGGTCAAGAAGACATTAAAGAAGGGTACTGTTGAGCCAAAACAATTAGTTGAATAATCCATTAGTTGATGGAGAGAAAATTAATTGCCAACTATTTTAGTAATCACTTAAGCAAAAATGATTGATGTCTATATAATGGTTCTAAAATATGGGGTTATGCTTCTTCTCTTCTTACACTGTATTAAATAAATTAAAATTTAAATGTATTTGTATTTAAATAAAAAATTTGGACGGTTCGTAGGTTAAAAAAAAAAAGACATCGACTTGTGATCTGGTAAATTGTTATTGGCATTTTTCACTATTTTCTGGTGTTTTATAGACCAAATTATTAATATGGGAGATCAATTGATCAGGGAAGTTGCGATTGATATTATCTTGTGTAGTTCAGAAATGAAATGGGTTAATTCAGCGGGTAAGAGACGCTAAGATATTTCAGTTTTATTGCCAAACCACAACTGACTATGGCCTATTTCTAGTGGATGTGGTCTACAGCATAAGGCAAAGTCACAGCCAACTGGTGTATAAAATTTTAAAAGAGAAAGATCTCATTCTTGAAAACATCATATGCTGTAAAAAGATAAGTGGTTGTTATTGCAGTTACACATGTCAGCTAACACCCTGTTTGCTGGCACTGACCTATCGCAATACTGCACAGAGACACTGCAGGCTTAATAAATCAAAATATTTTAATTATAGCACCACAGCAAACAGTCTGTTGCAGGTGTCTGGAGCCATGCGAAACTAATGTGCATTTATTAGGTTAATGTGCAGTTTTTTTATTAGTGCATAATGGCCAATGTGTCTGGACAGACAAATGTCATTTAAATATCAGACTATTTTTTTGTGTGTGTGTGTTCACTGTTTCCTTTTGAACCCCGAGCTACATGTGAGTTGCGGAAACCAAAGGAGATGTTCATGTAGATAACACACCACATCTCTCTGGCTCACAGGCAAGAGTAACTGAGGCCTTTCACATAGAATTAACATTTTCACTTGTCGGTTGAGTCGGCAGGATCGTACTCCATCTATAACCCTCAAGCCTAATACGGCCAACAGTATCAGTCAGTGCCAGCAGTAAAAGAGAAGAAGTAGATGTTTTCAAATCATATCTAATTTTACTGACTGAAAGGGGAGGACGTGTGGGGGTAAAACTCATGTGATCACAGTTTTCAGAAAAGTGATTCTTTTCTCTGATCTTCTGATGGAGAAGAGGGCGGGAAAAGAAGGCACAGGGCAGAAAATTACGTCTGTTATTCTGGGGATTTCAGCATAGAGAAGTGGTTCTGGGATTTAATGTGAGAAAATGTACTTTAGAGTTTTATATATTACTTAAATAAGTTACACTATGAGGTAAAAAAAAAAAAAGTCCTAATCGTGTATGTGGTGTAAAATATGCTCTGGTTAAAGTTGGATGGCTTAGCAATCACATTTAAATTCTATTAAAATGTAATTAATTTAAACACATACAACAAATTGTCAAAAGTAAATTTTTACATTACAGTAAATTAGCTCAATTTTGATTTAACAGTGTGGAAATGCATAGTCTTTACATATCACTCACCAAATCTATGGAGTCAGCGCTGTGCCACAGGAATCCTTTCCAGTGATTAAGTTTTAATGACTCGATTTTATTTTACATAAAGAAAAACAACTTGAAATGTGGTGAATTAGATGTAAATCTAAATGTATTCATAAAAAACTGACCTCAAGTCAGTTCCATTACTCAGTCTTCAGTTTACGTTTAAGGTATGACATGTTTTTGAAAGGCTTATAAATTTAACTTTAAGTTATTGAACTGACTTCCTGTTGTACATATTTAATCTCATCTTCTTTCACTTTAACAGTTTTCATTATCTCTAGATTTTTTTCATTTAAATTAAGCGATTTACAGAAGTGCAATCCGCAGCAATAAGAGCTCTGATTGGCCAGTGTTGTTGCTGTGTTGTTTTTAGCGTCATGAGATACAGCTTGTCTTTCCATCCGGCCAGTCAGAGCTTGATACGGCTCCATGCGTTGGACTGGCTTTACATTATTTCTGCTTATTTTCAATTAAAGAGAAGTAACTTTAAAGATGGTATTCAGCGGGGATACGCATTAGCTAACAAAGTGACATCTAAAAGCCTTTTGAAAAAACTATTATTAATTGGGATGATCATTATATAATAGTAATATATTGACCTTTATCATTTTTATCTGATGATGTGAGGACTGAAACATCCTTAATAAAGTGAGTACACGGGATTGATTTGTAAATTTACATGCATATTACATTAATTACTTAATAGTTATATTATTATATGATGATAATAATACTAATAATAGTTTTTATGCATCAATTGCTCAACAATTAACCAACTGAAAGGAGCCGTAGAGAGAAAAAAATTAAAGATATAATCCTCTTTCTCTTTACAGGATAAAAAAGTATGACATTCTCATACAATTATGCAATATTGCAGCTAAAGATAAATTCAGAAATACCTTACATGTAGAGCTGTCCGATATTTATGAGTAAAAAATATGACCGCTGTGTGACTGTGCTTTTATAAAGAGTTTGTTTGTAATTTCTGCAACATGTTCCTCCCTGAGCAGAAGGCTGAAGACACATAAAAGTCTTCTGCGAGGGTAGTCTGTGATGAAGTAGACAAAAAGCACGTTTTCAGAAGCTGTTTTTTTAAATGTATTTTATATGCCAGTAGCCTGCATTAAAAGTACACGCCTTGACACAGATTGCACTAATTGGAAGCTCAACATCCAACTTTGTAGTGCAAAGTGGTTGTTGTGCAGTGCATCTTAAATCTAATGCCTCCGTTGTGTTGCAAAACCCAAAATCTCAAGGGATTTTATCTTCATTGTGGTGATAGTCTTTGATACTGAAGTATTTATACCATGTTACCTCTACCATCAATGCCCCCTGCTGTGATCTAGTAGTTTCTCTTCCAGGCTGGTCAGGCAGTGGGTGGCTAAAATGCTGTGTGACGTTTCAAAATGTGCCCTCACTTTTTGTAAATTACATTTCTTTGGGTAGTTCACCAAATGATAGCTACAGGTGACTGTTACCTTTGATCATTGCTTGCATTGTTGTGCTTATGATGATATTAAATTTCTTTTTAAAATTGTTTCTGATCAATTCACTATTAACCTGATGGATCAGCTATAACTCCGTAGCATTTTCTTCTCAGTCAGAAGTGTGTCACATCAAGGGGGGCGTCTACTGGAGAAAGTCACATATGTACACTAACCTACTTTTCTTGGGGTCTCTTACATTAAACGCAGCTTGCCTCACCAGGGGGCTTCCTCTTCTCCTAAATAAAGATTGAGCACATCTCTTGAACTAGAACTAGATCTAGATTGGATACTGTGTGCGATGTCCACTTGGCATTTGTCTTTACAATGTGCATCTACCTTTAGAACTGTTGTGTAGAACTAATGTGGTTGCATATGTACAACAATGTTGAGGACAAAATCATTTAAAGAACAGCAATATGAAAACAATCACATGTACAAGCTTGGATCCTCTCATTCGCTATATTACTTGGGCAGCCCAGCTTGTGCTCTTATTTAAACACCTCAGTGTCATTATTGGCCAAAGTGCCATTTTAGTCTTAGTGCTGAGAATTTGTGAAATTTACTCCTACTTTCAAACTTAAGATTAAAAGCAAGTTATCAAATTTCTTAAAGCTAAGCATCACTCTTACTCTTCCCAGTTTAAGGCAGCTCCAGAGGTCTCTCAAGTGGTTAGGAGTTGCCAGTAGGGGATTGTGATGGAGACAGAGACATGCGCAAATCTTTCAAGAGAGCAAGAATGTTTCTGAATTATTCGACGACGCACAGTAAATTCGACGGGGTCGGGACGTCATCTCACCTCTGACTTTACGCAGCAATGCGTTTTCGACTAAACTGAAGGTGGCGATGACGCATGGTTGATGATTTGGGGCCATCACGACCTTCAATAAGCCGAATTGTCTTGGAAACAAGTGTCATGACTTACTGCTTCACTCATTGTCACGCGTTTCATCGACTTCCCAACAACACACCCCGTAATCCAACAGAAGGCACTCATATAAAGATAAACTTTTTTATCTTTCATTTCCAATGTGTATATCATAATGGATTTCTTTAAATTCATTATTATCAAATATCTGTTGAATGTAAACTCCTCTTAAATATGAAAATCTATTCAGTGATTCCCAACATCGTCGTCCAAAATCTCGTTTGTGGCACAGCAAAGTGTGGTGAGTCCGATTTAGTTCTACAATTCACTTAAATTAAGACTGAGATGCTTGATAGCTAACTTTTAAGCATAGCTTTGAGCTAAATTTGTTTACTCTTAAGTCAATTCTTAGCTGTGTTCTTTTGAATCATTCTGGGAAGCTTGATAAATGCGGGCCCAGAAGTCTTGCTCCTCTATGTGAAGTTCATGTCTCAGTGAGAGACCAGAAGTTAGATTCTTCTTATGTAATTCCATTAATTCTATTTAGTTTTACTTTTCAAAATTATTGTTTGAAACAGCAGAATGTGGCACACCGCCCTCTCTATCCTCAAATATTTCTCCATAGACTCTAACTCTCGAAGACAAAATAGTTTACTTTGTAGTCTTTGCTTTCTTATCTAATGGCTGATGTTGCTGTTTGTTTCACAATGTTCCATGGTGACACTGACACTGATGTCACTCAATAATACTGTTTTGTCAATGACAACGAAACACACACATCACCGCTGAGAGCGGTATTCACTGTGTGTTGCCATAAAAACAACAAGAAACAATAGATACTACATGCCAGTAATGTTTACAACAACAAGGCAGTTTTAAAGGAGGGAGAGCTCTGAGACAAATGATTGAGGATGATGTAACTCCAGTGCCTAGAAGTCTTTTTTATGTCTTTAAATGTTTTGATAGTTGTGATGTTTTTTAACATATGTGTTTTCTCCTGTGTTTGGTCATCAGCTGCTGGTCTTGCAGAGCCACAGATCTGTTACGTGCTGGACGGAATCCTGTTTTTGTACGGCATCATCCTGACAGCTCTCTACTGCAGAATCAAGGTTTGCATGCGACAACTGAGCTTTTTCAAATGCATATCACAAATTTTGTTTTATAAGGAACCTATATGCAAGAACAGAATATGGGACAATGGGAACGAAAGGCCAGATGTCAGTTGATTAAAAGTTATCTGGTACATTATTAATGTGTTGGTAAAAAGGAGTTTCATCTGCAAAGACAAAAAACATTTGACTAGTATATATTATCATATGCTGATATACTGACATATGGCTTTTTTCAGTGTTATTTTTATATTTTACATTTTTTGAGGCGTCTGTCAAAACATATTTTAAAGGACAGAGATGTTATGACATTCACCATTGTGGAATAATTAACATTTTTTCCTAAAATATAACCAAAAGCTTGTTTTCTTTTAAATCTGGAAAATAAATGTACCAGTCTTCACTGATGTACCACCATATACTTATGGCCAGTAAACTGAACTGAAAAGTTAATGAAAATACAATACAAAAAATAGATAGTTAGTGGATTATATGGATGTCAAAACTACAGTAAGACTTGTGTCGATATTTTAAATATTACTCAAGTAACGCTGTCTTCTTCAGATCTACAATGCTAAGGGGGCTCAAGCAGGGAAAGGAAAGGGCAAGGTAAGAATAAACACATGCACACTGTACATACATGAAAACAGAAGCAAAGTCATGACATGCGGTCTAAAATCAACAAGACAGGCTCTTAATGCAATTGACCACTGCCCGAACTGTGAACAAACCAGAGACAAAGCTCCTCTGGAGGCAAAAATAATCTCAGGTCAAACCTCAGTGGGAAAACAGTGATGGGCAACATGAAGAATGAAATTGGCACAAGCCATTCTTCATGTCCACGCGGCTACTTTTTTGTTTTCAACAGCCACACTGGCAGCTGTATGTGGCGAGTTCAACTATTTTGGCCGCTCTGCTCTGAAAAAGTTTCGATTTCCTGACACCGCTGAGAAGCTGCCAGACCCACCAGCAGTTGCATCACAGACCAATGAAAAGCCCCCCCCCCCCCCCCTCTCTCTCTCTTTCTCTCTTTCTCTCTCTCTCTCTATATATATAAATATATATACACATAGATACAGTACATATATACATGTGTGAATATATCATATACTGTATATACATAGGCCTATGTGTGTGTGTAAAGGTTATTGGGGGTGTGGTGTTTCTTTTTCTGCGCTCATGGTGTTTGACTTTTGACAGTAAATGGTCTTTAGCAACCTCGGGCTGGTTTCACAAAGCTATTTTAGACTAGCCTGTAGTTTTAGACCTAAGTCTAAAATTTGCTCATAGACTAATGCAAGTTAAACTGTTTCACCCAAATAAAGACTGAATAAGTTTAGACCAAAGAAATTAGACACCTTACCCCCAGGCTAGGTCTAAGATCCTATGTTACCTTGGTAACCATCAGTAACATTACAAACATACAAAGCAACATACAATTGTTATTTATCAGAGGTTGCGCGCCGCTGGAGCAACGAGGGGGTTAAGTTTCTTGCTCAGGGACACATTGGTGGATGGGTCACAGTGCGGAGTTGAACCCAGGTCTCACACCAAAGGCATGGGTCTTATCCACTGCTCCATCACCTCCACCCCATTGGTTGGTTTCGTTTAACTAAGTTACCTATCCTGAGTCTGACAGATTGATTAGCTGAAGTACTGAGCCCTGCCTCCTGTTTTAAGAGATTTTCTCTTAAATATTTAGTTTTTGTACCATGTTCTTGGGTCTTTTCTGTATATCTTTGCACAACGGTATGGTTAACGCTGTTTTCTGTCGTTGCAACTTTTTTCCAAATCAAGCTTTTCTTTTTGTTACTACACTCTCCGCTAAATTTTCCAAGTAAAATATCCTTATAACTATTATACTTCTTCAACAAACACATCTTTTCCCACTGGGGTAAACTGTATTGAGTGGTTAGATGCGCCTACTCAATCCGCCATTTTTTGTTTTGTTTTGAAAAGTTATTTACCCAGAATCAATTGCGGCGTAGTCCTACTTAAGATAGTCAGGGCTTTGTGCAACGATCTGATTTATATGTCTATCCGAAGTTTGACTATTTACTGTAGCTAAGCCGTAGTCAAAGTCTGTCTTTGTGAAACCGGCCCCTCGCCTTGTTTGGTGAGATTGGCTGTTCCTCACCCAGCTGTAGTCCAGAACAATTTCTGGCTCAGGTAATGATTGTTTTTCAATCTACATAGTGAATATTGAGATAGAGTTTTAGCCACCAACTGCACACAGCCAAACGCACTCTGACTCGCACAAACACACACTCTAAACTGCACAGATCTGGTGTGTTGCTATCTGGCTTGTATCACTTCTCAAATAACATGTTATTTGCCTTCCTCTTTATACAGGGTTCATACATACTAAACATTCACAAATGCACCCTGTTACAGCCACAGACTTTCAAGACTGTTTGCCTATTATAGCTAATAATATTGTTTTCTACCCCTGACAGAATGTTGAAGAGGGCATCTACACGGTAAGTTTTGGCAGTGATGAGAGCCGAGTGCTTAAATGTCAAATTATCATTATTAAATTGTAGTGTATACGCTGAATTTCCCTCTCTGTTTTCCTCCCAGGATTTGAAGCCTCACGCCCAGGACACATATGAAGCTATTGGCATGAAGAAGTGATGTGATGAGGGAAAGTCCAAGACAGATGTTCTGTTTTTGTATTTAATATTGCTTATCTTACCTTTTTAGATTTGAGAACATGTGAGACTGTGTGTGCAAGTGCACATTTCCCCTTTGCTTTTGTAGATTTTATGGGAAGTTAAGAGAGACAAGACAGAAAGAGGGAAGATGAGGCCAAGTCGGGCAATTCTCAAAAATGCTTACTCTTGTTGTTTCAATCTATATTTAAGTTTTATGCAAACATATTTTTAAATCTAAGTAAAAAAAAAAAAAAGAATGATAAAACTGTTTTATTTTTATGTATAGCTGTTATAGCCTACTCAAAGCTGATATGAGTGCCAAAATGCTAACTGGCACTCAGCTCCTGCTACAGACTGTCCAACTAACTTCCTCCTTTAGGCCATTTGAATGTATGTTTTTTTTATATTGGAACAGCAAATCCAGAAGTATTGCCGTTTTGTGCATCATGGTGAATACAGTATAGCCATTTAGCCATGTTCATCCTGTGTAGTAAATCCTTAGAGATACTGAGCAGTGTACACACCACAGGATGGCAGTGATGGTGCCTTTGGTGAGGTCCTTACCTGTTCGTACTCAAACACATACACACTCTGCTCTCTCCCAGGAGGCAGAGCCTGAAAGCAATCAAAGAAATAACACAAATTGCTGTAAAGTTTTGCATGCAAACTGTTGCCTGTGGTGTGCATAGAGCTGTGATATACGTTTCACGTACATAAAACCTATTAAACATTTAACTTGCTTATTATACAACTTTGTCTTTATTTAAATTGGAGTGTTGAATAAGGCCAGCCTTGTCTTCTAGATATTATGCTTGAATATGGAGTTGTAAATTTCTAGTTGTCATAAGGTAAACAAACACAAAAAGAAGAACTGTTTGTATGAAGTTGGTCAAAACATATATAAGTCTTAAATGATTTGATCTGTCACACCAGTAAAAGAGAAGAAGATTACAATGTGAAAGGAAAAACACATAGTATGATGTGCTGTTTATTTATGAATATGATTTATGAAAATATTAGTATTTTAAAATAGAATGTACCAAAAGTGGGCAGATTGGTTTATTCCTTTGATATAGGTTATGAAAATATTCATAGTGTCTCTGTGGTGCGCATCTTTGCTACTAATTGTGATCATCCCTTTTAAAATTAAAGGATCAATTTGTTTGCTATGGGAGGAGGCACCTTTTGTTTATGATCCAGCCTAGTAGAGTAACCCATTATAACATTCAGTCTGCGTCATTTGGACGCAGTTTAAACTGGATCTCCACCTGCCTCTCCTCTGAGCAGAGCAAGTAAAGACGAGAAAATAACTGTCATGTTGCCCTAACCAAACCGGAAAGGTGACTTTTGCAACAAATGTGCGTGTGGGTAGGTGTGTGTGTGTATGAGAGAGAGAGATAGGTCTAGCACAAACAGGTGTATCCTAAACAGGTAAAGCTGCGCCTTCTTTTTTCTGAAGAGCAAACATGATGGCGTGTGCCTGACAAACCATCACACAACCGAGCTGAGAGGATTTACACTTTTCACAAGGACTGAGTTTATACAACTACAACTTTGGAAGGGATCTGGATCTAAAAAGAAAAAAGATAAAAGAAACGCCATCAAGGGTGATCCAGCAGGACGAGGGATGAATCCACCTCAGTGCTTAACGCACGCCCTTCATTTAGGATACTGTTACCTGGACTGATGAGCTTTATTCCAGCACTGAAAGTGTCCCAACTTGTGCACAGTTAACAGCAACTGCCGAGGAGAATGACATCTCTGCTGAAAAGACTTTGTCTGTGTCTCTGTGTCCTCTGGATCTTTGGTAAGAAGGCTTTTGCACCGAGTCTGTCCGAAGTGATCAAAGTGATATTGTGCAAAAATATGGTATTCCTTACGGTATGTTGGATCTTTATCTTGCCTGATGTCAGATATGATGTTCTCTCAGGCCCGTAATGTGCCTGCAGTACTCTCTGAGTATGTAGTGATGCTATTGTAGGTAATTTCCTGTGTATCTCCTATATATAGTATTAATCCTATAATACTCGTATACTGTCCAGTAGGCCTGCTCATAATACCTGTGTGGTAATATTTGGAAGAACCACCAATGTAGGTATTTAAAATATGGTATTAAAAGAAAATACTTCTGTAGACGTGACCTTTAGTTTTCTTGATTATGAAAGCATATCTCGTGCATATTCACAAGTTCTGTACACTCTGGGCATGTGACCAGCTAATCTCAAGGATTTAGGTGGAACAGTGCTGTTGAAGAAAAACACTTGTGGCGCTGTCTGATATTTCAGGAAAAACAGGTTGCTGTTGATCAGTTCCCCTCCTTCTGTCTCATTCAGAGGAACTATGTGGACCCTCCTAGTGAGTGTGTGTGTATGTGTGTGCGTGTTTCTCTCTGTGTGTTGCTTAAGCCTAAATGTGTGTGTACATGTGATGCTGTAGGTCTATGCATGTAAGCCTCCAAAAGTATTACACAGTACGACACAATGTATTAAAATGCGTTTCTTCGTATACAATAATAATATGAGTGTGGCATTAAAAAAACATTTTTAAAATGTTATATGATGTGGAACTCAGGAAGACTAGATGTGCCTTTAGGCACAGCTAAGGGGGATCCTAACAAATAAACAAATCAACAGAAAGGCAGGATACTCTGTGTTATGCCAGTAATGCAGCACAGGCTGATTCCACAGTAAGCTTAGACTTCAGGGTAACAAACACACACAATCATGGAAAAACACACCTGTCTGCAGCAGAGTACACTCATCACGTCTGATGGTAAATGCATGAATCACATCCAACCTACTGACGTACCTGAACAGATTCTCAGGATCAGGTATTCAATCAGCACCTCCACAATTCAATGGTCATTTTACAGAAACAATTCAGATTTACCGGTATGGTAAACAAGAAAGATGGGGGAAAAAGCCTCACTTTTGTCTTTCTTGTTTACCATACTGGTAAATCTGAATTGTTTCTGTAAAATGAACGATTGAATTGTGGAGAATCTACCCAATCTTACAATGTGCAGCATGTCCATGTGGACAAAAGCTTTAACATTTATATTTGTACACACACACGATCCAAGCAGCATAGAACTAGCTTGGTGAGCGGGTGACACGGTGAGCTTGAAGAGGTTTTATACATCCAGAGAACTTTTATAAACACCAAGCCAGGCATCTAATTGAGACATGTGTTTTTTTTATCAAAACATGTGACCACACTCCGCCAGTAAAAGAGACATGCTTCTAATTGGGGCTAGGCTTTTAATTGAAGTTTAACAGCAATTAATGCTTGACATTAACTTGACATTTTTCTATTTTGTCTGTCAAATACCTGCAAAACGAATGAAATCAACCTCAGTTGGATTTAGCTGTGTTTAGTGCTAATTAGGGAGTGTGCTAACATGCTAAACTAAGATGGGGAACATGGTGAACATTGAACCTGCTAAACATCTCAAAGCACTGCTGTGCCTGTAAGTGCAGTGTCACAGAGCCACTAGCATGTCTGCAGACCCTTAGTATAGTTTTCTTGTTACACTTCTGCCACAAATAGTTGAAAGTGAATGGTGTCTTGGACTATTTCGACACTTTCATACACGTGCAAATTCTAGATATTATACTAGTCAAAACTAGATGTTGATGCTGCAATAGCGAAACTGAAAAGTGCACTTGTGAAAACAGATACTATAAGTGATCTTTAAAAACCTGGCTACAGAACAATAACTGTATTGTTTGTAACAGAATAGAGAAAAGTGATCACAGACGAATGCTTCAAGAATCCTTTACTGACAAGGCCTAAATTGATTTATCATTAGTGTTTGGGAGGAATCCATTTGCTGTAATTCATTTTCCCCGCAAGCTGTTTTCCTTCAATTTCAACAGGGTCGTCGCCATAAGGAAACTGCACCTTCTGAAAGTAAATCAATCACCAGAGACACAACACGATGCCAAGAGCAGCAATATAATAATACACAGCAATGATGAATGGCCTGTCCAGGCTTTTACGTGGAATAGGCAAACACGAGAAACCCTGAGAGACTTGAACAAACTCTTCTTATTAACCATTACATGTTTGTAGCGATCTACACCTTGTGACTGTGTATTCCCTAAGTGTGTGTACTTACGAGGCTGCTGGAGGACACACATGAATACATTTGGTCTGTAAACAGGGAGGACAGCAGCAGATTCGTGCTAGCATGTGTAGTTAGTGTTGCAGTCTGACAGCGTGAGACACACAATTCACACTTGTGTGCAGACATCTCTCCCTGTCCAGACAGAGGTATCCCACTGTAAGTTTACTTTGAAAGCTTATCTCGAGCAACTAGTTAAGCTACATATCTTCACTTGTACTTAGCTCCTCTCTAGAGAACCTGTTTTCGCTCTCCTCCCTCTTTTCTGACTTCTCTCTGTGTAGCACTCTTTAAACCCTGTGTGTGCTCCTCTGGCTCCTCTTGACTTTCAGTCATGGAAGTTTCACTTTGTATTTTCATAATCGCCCCTGTTATTTTCACCCGATCTATTTATTTGTTTAATCCAGGGCCAGAACACTGTGCAGCTAGAGCTCAGAAAAAATTGGACTGAAACTTTGGTCCAGTCACAAACATTAAGAAACACAGGAATAGTTTGAAATTTAGGGAATTACGCTTATTCGCTTTCCTGCTGAGAGTTAGATGAGAAGAAAAATACCGCACTCAAATTTGTCTGTTGCTGGCCAGCAGACACTTAGCATAAGCATAAAGATTACAGATAGGGGGAAACAGCTAGCTTAGCTCTCTGCACCCAGCCAACAAATAGTCTAGCACATAGCACCCCATAAAAACCACAACTTAGTATTTTTATACTTTGGTTTTTGTATAAATTAAACAAATGATATTTAACATAGTCATCAGTGAGCTTAAGTGGTTTTTATAATCACAGCCGCATTGTCTTTCACTTCAAGCCTACTTTATTCAAATATAACATTCTTCATCATTTATAAATCAAAAACAAGCAGCCAATGTCTTAAAATAATGTAAATGTAGCGCTATTTATGTCTGTTGAGAAAAAAACTTTTTGCTTACCCCTTTGGCCTCATGTAGTAGTTCTTAGCTGTAAGAACACTTCTTTTAGGCTTTACAAACAAATAACCTCACTGGCTGAGTTAATGGCTGTGCTACATAATAACCATAGACTGTATATAAAAAGATAATAACAGAAGTTGGTTAACTGGTTAGTTTTAATGACAAAGAAGGAAGCTAGGACCAGAATGATGATGACTTGTTTTTTATTCACTCTACCAAGGCTAGATAGTAATAGACAAGTAGCCTGCAGCTATTGAACTTGAAAGGTCAGCAACAATAAATGAAAGACGCTGGACCATATCACCATGTAAAAAATGTATTTATTTTTGTCCCTGAGCAGTAAGTGTTATTTCCAATTACATATGCCTCACATTTTCCTATTTCCAATGAGGATTTACATTTCACAGAAAGACAGAATTAAACAACATAATGATCCAAAATAACAAGTAGGCTATTTATACACAGGCTAGATCTTTGCCTCAGACAGCTTAGGAAGGTACTTGTAGGCTGCCAACTCCCTATCTAAGGTTCTTACAAATTGTTTTATGAGGCCCATTTTGTGGTGGCATCAGAACCTTCCTGGGATCCACCAGCCTCAAAGCTGTTCTGCTCCATAATGGCAACAAGTTCCCATCTCTTCCCCTGGCTCCCTCGGTGCACCTCAAAGAGGAGTACAACAGTATCGAAACC